ACAAAATTATATTACCAATCCTAAATTTGAAAAATGAGAAGGAAAATATTGATTTTGCAAAAAAAGGCCTTAACCGTGTTTTTACGTGTAAATAAAAAGTATTCAAGCATTTATAAAAATATACCCAGGCCTCAATTCACACAAAAAATTAAAAACGGGACGCAATTTACGATTCGATTGATTGTAATAATATTAATAATGTTATTGGGATATTTTTTGGAAAAAAAACTGATCAGAATATTTTATCGTATACTTTTAATGTTATAACTTATAATCTATAAAAGTACATAAATTGTGACGATCGCAAATGAAAATCTCGAACATTTTTCGGTACTTTTCGTTGTCACAGGTACCTCTTATTAATATTATAGTATAATAATATATTTTGTTTTCTATCCCGCAAAACGTACAACGCGGTGATATTATTAGTATTAGTTAGTTCGATCTGTTGCACTCGCGGACAACCGTCAGTACGAAAATATTACAGTAGAGTGCGCTAAGCGTAACACGCTAATATTATCGGTCAACAGCTGCTGCTGTCGTGATATTAGTTTTATTTATTTTATAAATAAAATATCAATGTGATAAGTCGTGGTTCGAGGCCTCAAGGGGGCACCTTGAGCCGTCTCTCATCGTCTACTATACATGCACACAGGTAATAAGTATGCGCTTACATAGGTACCTACGTAAAGATATTGAATTATGTACCTACTCAACAAGAACATAATATCTTTCATCCAGTCGTCGCTCGTTATTGTTTTTTAATATTTCTTTTTTTTTTATATTTTTACATTTAGTTATTTATTGTACATATACCTAGGTACGTACCGTAAAAAAACGCATCATTTTGAAGACGATTAGGCAGACAGGTGCATTTTTCTTACTCGAAGACACATTATTGAACGATTTCCTTGGTAATTGCCGAAAACACTGGTACCTACCAGTTTTAAGCCAGGTTCACCGCTGCGTCGCCTGTCGTGTCGTGTTGAAGAATTGAGCTTCTGCCCGACTTGTGATACCTAGATGATGGTTAATGAATGATACCATGATTACAACGACCAATCGGAACACGATACAAGAAATACGACATTGAAGACGACCAAACTCTAATTTATTAAACTTGTAACAATTTATGTACCTACGTCCTACATGAAATGTACAACGACTTAAGATTTTGATAAAGCTATATGCCATGAATGAACCTTGAGCAACCTATTCATAAATACCCAACCGGCCAGCTATAGATAATAATTAATAATAGTATTACACAATTGTATAAAAAAAAAATACCTTCGCGAATGTCAAAAACTAAGATATCCGATTACATTAATCGAATAAAAATGAATATAGTCATAATATGATATCTGTATAACAATTATTGTTATTATTATCAATATCTTAATAATTATTTTTATGATAAAATATGCCTTCATGAATATGTCAAGACTTAAAATTAAGTCTTATTTTTTATAATTATACGATATTTGTTTGATAAATTTATGTCGTATAAAAAAAAAAATAAAAAATAATTTGCAATCAAATATTTTAACAAAATATTACCTTCATAAAATTTTTAATTTTTAGTCTTTAATATAAATTTAATTTCGTTTAAAGTTGTTCTTTTTTTTTTTTTTTTGGAAATAAAGATAAACCAGAGTTGTTTTCCTGTTTGATATAATATTAATTTAATTATCAAGTTCAATTATAATAATTATTGTAAATGTCAAAGAAAATTGTATTGGTAGCAAAATAATTATAAGTTTTTCCGAAAAGGATAACGCCCATTATCATAGTACCAACAAGTATTCTTATTTTAAAATTGTAATGTACTTACCTATTTATGAATTATTTTAAACTAAGTTAACTTAATCAACGTTTTGTTTTCATCTTAAAACTTCTAAGACACTCATTCATAATGAAACAATATAGGTAAGCATTCTATTACGGGTGTATATTAATATGTAACAGAAACTTAATTTTATCAAAAACTAAGTATTTTTTGGTAGATATATTTTAGTGAGATATTTTATATTTTGTTTTTAATCAATTAGGTACTGCACTGATTCTACACTGCTAACTGCCGTATCATACTACGAGACATCAACTTAATAAATGTATCCATTTGTTTTATATAATTTAAACGGATGGACCAATGATTTGTGTGATTACTGCGACAGTTGGTATACATTACTGTCATATTACTTGTAAGGTAACTATGGTATAACACAAAATAAATAAAAACCAATCTATTTGCCAAGCAATTTTACAACAACTGAAATGTGCATTATGGTCTATGGAAAGTAAGGTTCAATGTTAAAATATGTGATTCTAATTAAAAGATCAACGATGAAAAATCAGATTTTACTACATGAAAGAAGTTTGAAAGTTTTGTGATGATTAGTTTATCAATTGATTAAACGTAAGACCATGTTATTATTATTATTTTTTTTTTTAATGAACAATAATAATGAGCTTTTGATATAGTTAGTGATACGCCATTACCTATATCTACTTCGTGGCCATATTTTATACCTATATGTCTTATATACCTACAATAGATAGTTTCATGTACAAGGAGTATTCTGGAGATGTACGACTGCACCTTTATTTAGTCATATCCTATTAATATTGTCTTAGTTGTAAGTACTTATCTACTAATTACTTGGTATAATCATACTAGGAATACAATGTCATTTCATCTCGAATATGACATTTTAATTGACCTTAAGTTATAAACCTAGTTATTTATTTTGCATGATTTAATTATAAATATAGGAAGATACGTACAATTTATAAATATATATATGATTAGGTACATTGATATATAAACATAGGTAATAGATATATATGAGTGTGTGCACTATGCAGTGAATGGTAACAGCTATTCTCTTAACAAAAGTATGACCAAGCCACCATGAATTTTATTATACTATATTTTATTAGTTCTGAGTCAAAACTTCTAACTTTCGTTTTGATATAGTATAAGACTTCGAACAAGCTAACGATTTATTTAACTATAATATATACCTATACTATGTGATTCTAATTCTTTTTTTAAATATAAAAGTATATTGTCCTTCAAAAAGTAAACTTAAAAATTATAATAATAAAAAGCATTTTTTTTAAAAATGTTTTGTTATTTTGATTAGGAAAACTTTAATAGATTTTTAAATAATGAATGTTGTTTATTGATAAAAGAATCATTTTGTATAATATAAAATATATATATATTTTGGTTATATTTCAGTTCTATTTAAATATGGTAATAATTTAAAATATATTATATTTTAGTTATTTGTATTGTTGTGAAATTTTTTATTAAAAATCATCCTAACATTTCAAACAATGAAATTTTATGTGATTAAATTCTAATCCGTAGCAAATAACATTATGCAGTTCATCTACAATTTCAAAACTGCCAGAAAATTTACCCAATTTATATAATTTTATTTTAAAAGAAAATATACAAACTAACTAAGATAAATATTATATATTAGTTAACGACAATGAAAATAATTTGTATAAAATGGAAAGGAAAATAGTATCTTTACATTGAGACAAAATTCATGTAATGATTATAAATATCATTAAGACGCTGTTCACATGGATATGGGAAAATGGGATTTGGGACAACGTGCAGACTCGTTGTACATACTCTATACATTCGTTTTGTTCGTTATATGATTAGATATTCATAAATATTATTTAAAATCCTAACTGCCATAATATAACATAGTTATTATATTTATAGTGATATAGTGCTCTAGATAATAATATACATATATAAATATTAACGGTGTTTAAGATATAAACAATCCAAATTTACAATTAAGTATCAACACAGATCGATGACGCAACCACGTGAGTACCTACCTAATCTGATCTTAAGGTTTTTTTAAATAGATACCTATTTATTAAAATATTATTAACTAATAGGTACTAATATTTTAATTTTGAATTATGCAAAATTTTATAGCAGTATCGTTTAATTTCACATAAATCGACTTAAACAAATTAATACAAGTATACTTTAAACAAATATGTTTCATGCCCTATTTATTTTGTATAATACATTAACCAAATTAATTATACAACTCTAAAAAAAAAATTAATAAACAAATAAAGTAGTATTTTTCCTTAAATAATAATAATAAAATAATAATGGTTATAATGATACAAATAATATTTATAATAATAATAATAATAATAATAATAATAATAATAATAATAATAATAGTAATAAATTACACGAGTAAAAACGATCTGAACAACACATTTCGATACCTAACAATAAAACATTCGCAAAATTTATTATTCAATTCTATTTTTTTAAAACATTTTAATATTATAATCTTATTTTAAGTTCAACTACTTATATTCGTTCGGATTAAGTCAGCTTAAGTACGATATTATTTACAATCTAGAAATAAAATCCTAAGTGATATATACCGTTTACGTGCCACCCAGTTAACGTTCGTCGATAAGTACAAACATATTGTCATCATAATAACAATAATCATCATTATTTTAATAATAATAATTATTATTAATATTATTATTATCATTATTATTTTAATAACGTCGGTAAACAACTGCATATATTACCAATACATATATTACAACCGAGATAAGTATAGGTAAGTTGATACCCATAATTATTATAATAATATTAGGTACTACTTTTTACAATAAAACCTATAAAGGTAAGTACACCACGGCGACAATTAAAAATATCAACAAGTTCAATAAGCTCACTATTCATTTTTAAAATTAAAATTCGAGTAAACAGTAGTATTATATTAAAACGAATACATTTCGTACACCAATAATTATAATACCGTAGGTAAAATTAAATTAAAATTAAACGATTTATTTTATATGTACAGTCAAAAGTATAACGGTCTGTTAAGCGCATGTAATCAAAAATTAGCTAAAATAAAAATATAACGTTTATCATAGTAATAATAATAATAATAATAATAATAATATATTTAATAATTTAAAAAATAAAAATAAAATTGTACTTAGAAAATATAATGATGAAAAATGGTTTTTCGTTTCTTTTAGGCGCGATTGAAACTTACAATCTACATATAATATTAAATAAACGTATAACGTACAATTTTGTTGTGCCCAGAGTTTGTGGGGTTTTTTATAAGTACATATTATAATATTATTCTGATACCGGTTAAATATCTCGTTTTATCGATTTATACAGTATAAATAAGCCGGTAATTTTACAGTGATGAACAGCTCTCAATAGAATAATTCGAATCGACGGGCGTTTGGATCAGTTGTTTCGAGTTTTCATTGATAATGGTCTCTTCTCGTTTTTTATCGATTTTCCGCTGTTTGGCCCGCCTATTTTGAAACCATATTTTTACCTATAAAATAATACATTTCAATATTAAATATCTATATTATCATTAATTTTAATCTACAGTTGTATAATTATTATTATAATTTTTAACATATTGAAATTTATATATCTTATAAGTGTATCCAATAAAAATAAATAATAATATAGCTTATGAATAAAATAAATATACAATATAAAAAAAAAGGTTGTTGTAAACCAAATCACACGTCATAATAATTATGAAATATTACCGACATTTAGGCGATTTAATTATCAAAATAATCTAATAATTATTATAATTAATAACATCAAACTTGATTGTAAAATATGTACAGTGCATATTTCTTTGTAAGTATATAGGTATTATTAATATAATATAATTTCTGTGCATATTGAAAAATTAAAATAATTTAGAATTTTAATCAATTGAAAAGTTTGATGTTGAATTTATGTACATATATCTACGAGGGAATAGGAAATTAATTTCACTAGAATGATTTAAAAAAAAATCATCAATTTCATCCAGAATTACATTTTTAATAATGAATGAACACAAAGCACATGGAAACAAAAATGTTTTTAAAAACCTCACGAAGATATAAAACCAAAAGGAATACTTTGTAAATGCACTAAAATGTGGATTATTTATCTGTACTTGGTGAGTTACTTTATTCATATTATATAATAGTATGTATAATGAGTATTATAATGTTTCTATTTATACTAATATACTCAATCTAATTATGTTTATCTAGTTTTAAAAATATTTTTAACTTTTATTATTTATATAATATTATATATTATATAACATTAGGTTAATTATAACTGTTTTATGAAGAATGATTTTTAGAAGGACTCATCTAGTGAATAGGTAAAACGTGTTAATGGAGATTAAATACCTTTAAACAATTTATATTCCACTTCACTTATCTAAACTTTAAACAATTAAAGTTGTTAAAATAGTTGAATGTAATTATTATAACTAATTTTAAATTAAATGTATACATAAAATTTACTTTTAACTCAGATATGTAAATTTGTAATAAAAAGAAATGTACATTACCAAGAATACAATTTACGTAAACTTATTTAAAAAAATAATATTCAATACCTTAATATCTATATTTACATTTTCAAGAACAATATTTCTTTTAAGAAATACAAAATAACGTATAGGTAAGTAATAGATACATACTAACCTTACTTGTACTCTAGAAAAATGTATACTTATATTTTTTACAGTAATTAAAATAATTAATACATAAACTTATTGGTATTATATAATATATCATATGTCATATATAAAATCACAAATAGTATTTTCAATTTTATCCACATAAATACCTATAGTATTATATTTTTTATTCTAAAATTATTTTTTGAGAAATGTACTTTGAAGTTAACTGTTACCAATAATTAAATATATTTATATATTTATGTATCAACATAATTACAACCATCACTTAAGCCGCTATTGTTTAGTTTTTTTAAATATATACTTACTCAATTTATTATAATATATACATATATATCGATTTAATTTATTTATAAATATTATAATATAGACTTACTTGTCTTTCAGACAGGCTCAGCATTTTGGATAACTCGGTTTTTCTTGTAATCGTGATGTATCGATTAAAGTGGAATTCCTTTTCGAGTTCCAGACGTTGCAAGTCGGTATATACGACCCTGTACTTATCTTTAGTGCGTGTTCTACCTATATAGGAAAAAGAAAAATTATTTATTAGGTTTGTCGGTTTAATAAATTGAAGGTTTAACAACTGCGCGTGAGTTTATTAATTTACACAAGAGCTGTTGCTGTGAAATAAAGATGATAAATTAGTAGCAATTTCCGCGGCACGGGTGTGCATAAGTACTATGTGACATTTTTATTGTCTATACAATCGCTTAATGTTTAACACGGCAAGGTAAATATAAACATCAACATATAATTTAATTGATCCATCTTCTGAGATTTTTAATTATTGTTTTATAGATATTTTATTGATCGTCCATAAAAAAGATTAAAACTAACTGAAACTAATTTATAAATCGTGATTATTTATTTTAAGATATAACGTAGACATCATACATACCTATATAAATACGACTAATTAAAATACGTTTTATCATATCATCGCTGTGGGTAAGGTAAAAAAATTTCATTTAATTTATATTGGGTAATATTTTGTGTTTATTCTAAAAATAAATACTATTAGTCAAATTCGTTTTTATAATGTTTTAATAGTTTTTGAATTACATAGAACATTATTATACGTGATAATAGCGGGCATGGACCAATATTACGCCTAAAACAAAATTTTTGTTTAGGGTTAGTGTACCAATGTGCTTTTCCTATCTTCAGATATGAAAATATTATTTTTCAGTCTAATTCCATCAACATCGACATAAACAATCTATACACAAAAATGCTTAAAAATTAAAAACTTATTTATTGATTAATTGATTACTGGTTATAATATATTTTATGACAGTGTAGGGAATTTTACAAAACATTATTATTATTGCGCACATATGATCGTATAAGTATGAATTTGAGTGATAGACGAAAATAAGTTTTCATTATTGTTGGATATTTATCAGTATTATTGTTTCATTGCACAATATATACTGTACTATATAAGATAACACATGGATGATATAGTCGTTACTTATTATATATTTTTGTTTAATATTAATTTGAGTTGTTTGACATTACACTATGAATTATTTTAAGCAAGCTCTTAGTGAAAAAGGCAAACTGTTATTACTTCTCGATGATTTTGAGTTTCGAAAATGTACTAAATCAAAAAATGGAATTAAGTTAAATCGTGCCCTTAAAATGTATTATCTGATGAGAGTAAAACGATGCTTATAAAATCTAACTATAGGTAATCGATATATGTATTAATTTATTATAGAATTATAACTAACTAATAAGTTTTCATTAAGTATTTTTAAATGTTTTGAACGCAAATGGTCTATCGATCCTCAAATGTATATAGCGCAATTAGTATATCGACCCTAAAATGTATACAGCGCAATTGGACAATCGTCCATAAAATATATAGAGCGCAATTGGTAAACTCTTATAATAACATGTAAGTATACATCAATGTAAATACGTTAAGTATATATATATATGCAATAAATATTTCAAAATGAGATAAACATAACATCATCAAACATTTTGAGGAACAAACTTTTACAAAGTATATAAGTTTTAAATATCATAGATTAATAATCTTTCATTAGGATAATAGGTTAATTTATCAAATATTTTGAAATAGAGACATCTTAACGTTAATTGAATATGTTTAAATATTGTTAAACCCAATAATAGGTTTCTGATGCGATTGCCATGGATTGTACAGGTAATTATTATAATCATAGTAGGTGATTTTAGTCTAGAATTAGTGCAAGTGTATAACATTGATTGCGTTTTTTATTTTACTTAGATAATAGAAAATCCTTTACAAACAAACATGATCAGTAGATCATGAGCATGGCCATAGGTACGTTTAAAGTTATACAGTAATAATATGTATATAGATGTATATTGTATAAAGGCATTATTATATCATGTTAATTCAGCATACTTAATCACTATAAAGAACATTATATAATACATATATGTATACATCTGTATATTATAAAACGTTCTTTGTAATAATTTCATTTACGTATTCTCTTATATCTAAATGCACTTTGTTATAAGTATAAGCATACGTTTTTATGATGAAAATTTTTCGATACAAAACCAAAAGTAAATGATTCATTTATTTCTAGATACTTAGTCTCGTAAAAATTATTAATGCGTATTATATACAACAATAGATTTCTTCATACACTATAGTTGCGTACAAGTTGTAGCGATGGCGTCACAAACCATCATTTTTGGAGCAATTGCCTATACGGCTTTTGGATTAATTTTTAATATTATTGAAAATAATATTAATTCTATCTTCAGTCTTCTAATGTTATTAATTTATATAATAATAGGTAATATTTTCATTTCTAGTTCTAGATTGTAATTACCTACCTAATAGTTTTAAAAACCATTTAATATTAATTTTTCAAGATAAATTATATTATTAAACATTGTTAAACGGATGAGCGAGTAAGTAATTTTAATATAATGCTCCTGTGATTCATAAAGTCTCTGTGTTATTATAGCATAAAGCATATTTTCCTTACTTTCATAATAAAATGTACATGCGATATATATATTAAAGATGTTAACTTAAATATATATATATTGCTTTCATAGATCTATTATATACATTATACCTACATACGTGTATACATATTCGACACGATAAATTCGCTCAACGCAATGTACCTACTTTCATAAGTCATAATATGTATATATATATTGCATTATATATCTATATAACAATGACAGAACAAATCAAGTAAAAAATGACTACGTTCATAAAGCCGCACGAAAATATTCTTCGCTCGGTTATCTCGTTAGGTCTATTTGTGCATGTGTGCGGTGTGGTTTTAATATTATTTTTTCACCTTTTAATACACAAATATATACGAGTACACTATATACACTAGTGCACGCGCACACACACGCACACATACATACCTGTTTAACTTGTTCAACGTTTTCTGTGCGTGCGTGTGTATACGACGTCAACTGATAGGAATAAGGTTTTTGTAATTCCATTACGTTATCTTGGGCCGCTCGAGGTTTTTCAAATAAGCCGCCAAGCCACTCGAGATAATCCACAGACATACACACCGGGTACGACGACAACAACGACGAGCAGAGACACGATTTATAATATTCTACTACATACAGCGCGAGATCGCGTATATGGAGTGTCCATGTGTAATGTGTATGTTCACGGTTATTGGTTTGTCCGCATAATGTGAATGTCTGTACGATTACAATACCGCGATTACCAGCATCGCGGTGTATAGCTACACGCCGCTGATACGACGGTGATACCTATTACACATGTCCTACGAACTACACACATATTTAAAAATAATAATTATGCTCCGAATAATCTACATTATATGATGAATGATAGTATATATACAGGTACTGCATATATATATATATATATATATATATATATATATATATATATTTAAGTAAATATTAGCCGGAAACGATCGAGTTTCCCGGGAAGAATTACGCGAGGACGACTGCAAAGGCATTCGTATACCTCTACATGGGTTATAATAGGTATACAGTTATCCGCTTGTAGGTAATATCGAACACGGTTGACGAAAATAAAATAATCGAAGTTATTATAGTATCTACCTATATAGCTGTGATATCATGTGCTATGTGAATGTATTCGCTCATACATATATATATATATATATATATATATAATATTGTATTATTATAATAATATGCTTATACGTCCACGGGCACAACAGCTACAATATCATTGTCATAACACATAATGGATAGCCGCAGTTTTCTTTTACCTTTTCGTTTAACGATTGTCCGACAAACCGCTGTGGCGTGCGGGACGAAAGAACGCCATTGGCCAGGTAACAATATGGCAGCCGACACTCGCGACTCTGTGTGAACAGGTGAACCCCGCGCGCGTACAGTGCGTATCCGATCACAACACACACATAATAATATAATATATAATGTGTAATATACACACCACAACTATAGGTACAGCAGATACGTGTCTAGTATATATATATATATATAAATGTATATAACATATAAGTACGATTATGCATATATTACAGTATATAACACTTGTGCGCATCGCCTATATATTTGTATTTATCGAGAATATATAATACAATATATTATTTAGATAAAGGTAGACGTATCGACGTATCGATGTATTTAATAATATGCGATGGTAATGCAGTCCAAACTATACACAATGCACAATACCTAAACAGTTAATATCCCTATGACGATGATGATATATTATTTAGTTTGATGCGCTCGTTATTTTTAAATTATGCACGCATATTTTGTCGCCGTGTAAGCCATAAAATATAGATTTATACGTGCTATATGAGACGATTAATATTATCATGTACACACTAGCTCACGCGTCCTAATCTCGCACGAACATCCCCTCGCCGCCTTCACCGCCATCAGCCTAACCTATACCCATATATACAAGTAGTCGGTTCGAGTCTCGGGGACTCGATAAACTACCTTCGCATTACCGTTACCGCATATAATTTTATATGATATTACTACGCGCACGAAACGGCGGTGGGATTTGTTTGATGTTTGTTTTTTTTTTTTTTTTGTTTTTTAATAAACACGCTATTGTTTCAACAACGCAGCTGTCGCGCCGAAAAAGTTGTCGAAAAACAAAACGGTCATGTATATACATTATACATACATACATACATACATACATACATACATATACCAAAGTACAACGGTTGTGCGCGTGGGGAACATTATTATAGCGCAGCCGAAGAGTACACATAATATTATTATTATTATTATTACTATAACGACTCTCGAGGGATCGGTTTGTTCGGTCGATCTACACCCGCTACAGCGCCGCGTTTTGTGGGACAACGATGACGACTCTAAAACGACTACATCGTTCGCGACAATCAACGGCCCAAATTGCGGTGGTGGTGTGTGACGGTGTTGCGGGTATGAGCTGTAGACGTCGTCCGTCCGGAGGACGATAAATCAAATCCGAGTACGACTGCGAAGCGTAAACATATTATGTATATTTATAAATATAT